GGCCATCAGTCACCGTTACTCGATTACTTAATTTTGCCTATCCCTCTTAAAATGTATTAACATTTAAATATAATATAAATACCAATTACTTTTTATAGTAATAGTTGGATGTAGTGCTGTAACTAATGATTATTTTCTTGATTAACTGTTTAGTCTATAAACAGTCAAAAAATGCCCATCACACCTTTGCTTAGCCATATGCAACATAGTTTATATTGATGTACTGTATACTGAAGAAAAGCAGGAAATCCTCTCGTTTGAGAATCTGGAATTCTTGAAATGATTTATCAGTCATCAAAATAATTGCAGATTGTTTTTCTGTGGCTTGACTAATTCATTGATCAACTAATCGTTTCAGTTCTAATTGGATCTTTTTGTAATTTTTTTTCCCTTTGAGTTATAATGCATGATTTGAATCTTGTGTTTATGTACTCATAGTAGCTTTTTGAATGGGCCATTTTATTAATGAATAATGTAAAAACACTACAAGTTTATAATCAGTCTGGTGGCACACTAATGGTTATGAATTGGTTTGTTTTGCACTAATAGGTACATTTGTTTGGGGCGACTAAGAAAGTTTTATATTTGCATAAAATGCACCATACTTAATACCATACTGACATCCAGACCCAATGTGAGTTTCCATGCAACATGCATGGCAATACAATAGGTGTTGCTTACCTTAGTGAAGTGTCACCCTGACGTCTTGATCCAACAAGCCCACTACAGCTACACCCCCCTGTCAGAATTTCTCCCTTGCAGTATTATAATTAATCCACAACTCACTGAACAATGAGTTAGCATGGTTGTTAACCTCTGTGACTAAAGCTGCACTTTCTGTAGCTTCACATAGAGATTAGTGAGCCCACTAATCTCTGTGGTTGGAGACACACTGGAATGTGCTACACAAATCCTTACAAATTACAAAGATTGGCCACTCTGGGACATACCTCTGGTCTAATTTTGCTGAGGAGTCGATGTACAGTAATGTGTCCTAGATTGGTTTAGAGACGGTATGTTAGACCAATGAAGTTGTACCTTGTGAGGACAAACATGTTCACCTGTCTATACCTTTCAGTTACATAATTTTTCATCATAATTTTTGTTTCTAATCTCACTTTGACTTTCTTTGACCCTTCCCATCTCTGGTTGCATATCACTTGCTATTTCTCAGTAGTATTGGTAGTAGTAGTGGTCATCTCTTCTTCAGGCCATCTTAGGTGTCCAGTCTTTGGTCTGCTGATTTAGAATCAGCCTTGAAAACAGGCGGTTACATTCCACTTCACATATTTTCACAGCATTTCTCTGTGGAGTCCTTGGCAGACATGGTATGATCAGGTACTGTTATGAAATTTATTGCTGTTGTTAAAAAGAGAGTTACAGGGATCCTTGAATAAACTGGTTATATAAAGGGTCTATTTCTCTCTGTCGCTGTGGCCATCTTTGCCTTTTCTTTTCTCTCCTTGGTCTTTCTCTGACTCGTAATCTTCAAAGTCTTCAGACTGTTCAGATTCTTTTAGACTCATACCTTTGTTGCTTTGTTGTCTCTCCCGAGGTGACATTTACATATTAAGTTGAAAGTGAACACCCTGCACTGTCATGTACACAATCCCTGTGAGATGCTGCAGAGAGAGAAAGAAAAGTAAAAGGTGCAGAGGAAAAAACAGCAACAAGAGAGCAACTGAAAGACGAGATTTCTTTGGCACTGTTTGATTGTCTTTTGTTTCGGTCTGCTGACCTTTTTCAAGACAAAAAAATAAAAAAATAAAATCCCAAGATAGAACCACACACAGTTGTCTTGAGAAAAGTCAGTTGAGCGAAATGAAGAGGGCGAAGTGCAGATGGATTCAGCCCTCATGAGCTTTGTTTTCGCACCCTGCATGAGAGGAAAAACACTGATGTGTGCTGTATGCACATTGATATCTGATCATTCCTGTGCAGCTGGTTGTCCGGGGCAAAATAGACTCTCTATGCTGTCTGTGGATTTATTTCTTCCGTTTTCCTGCCTTTGATTTTCAGCAGCACCACACTGCACTCGCATGGTTCAACACCTGTTGGACGCAGAGGGCGACCACCTTGCCCCTGAGCTCTGTAGTTGAAGCAGAAAATGGGGCGAGGCTCCTCTGTCTGTCTGACTGATTATCTGCCTCGCTGCCTGACTGCACGTTTGAAAAATTTAGACCCGATGCATTACATGCCAGCCTGTTCAGTCACTGAGGAGCAGCACGGCTGGGAAATAAATCCTGACCTGCACAAGCATTATGGTGTGACTGGCGTGCGATGTCTGGGTCCTTCGGTCAGCAAAAATCCATCTCATTAACTAGCAAGTTGGGCCCACATTCTCTCTCTCACACACACACACACACACACACACACACACACACACACACACACACACACACACACACACACACACACACCCCTCGAGGCTCCGTCTTGGCAGTCTCGACTTTGCTGCCCACAGACAAAAGACAGACACAGCAAGAGGCAGCCAACTATCTGGACAGGCAGCAGCCATCAGCTCAGTCACCCAACATATGTTTCAGTTTGCTGCGTTTTGCCTCTACCTGCCTCGAGAAACATCACAGAAACTTAACCTCACCAGTCAAGCAGATGCCAGTTTGTGCTGCATTTCGCCTAAACGCTTAGTTATGCTGTTGGACTGTTGGGCATGATGTAATGTAATTATTGGATACCAGCTGCAACACAATGCTGGAATTTTGTCCGGATAACAAATTAACACCTTTACAGCTGCAACGATTAGTTGATTAATCATTTAGTTAATTGATAGGATAGAAAACTAATTGTCATCTTTTTTTAATGACCAATTAATTGTTTTAGTCATGCCAAACATTCACTGGGCCTCACTACTGAGAAGTGAGGGTTTGATACTTTTCTTTTGATCAAAGTCTATTTATTGAGTAATTTCACAGTGTACAAAAAATACAAAGTGTCCATCCAACCCAGTTTAGTAATTTCCAACGACTGCCAAAGAGGAGAAACGTAATTATAATAAGATTAGATTCTCTGCTTCCATTTTTTTTTTTCTACAAATGTCCTGAATGGCTGCCAAATTACATATGATTTCAGCGCAGACCCTTGGAGAGAGTATCTTATCTTCTCTATCTTGAGATTTTGAATTACCTCTTTGATCCAGTGAGAATACATACTGTAGGTGGGAGTGGGTCTTTCCATCTGAACAGTATGAGCCACCTGTTCGACAAAGTGCGGAAGATCAACGGTGTTGCACTTGTGATTGTTTAGATGCACACCCAGTGGTGTAACACCATATAAAGCAATAGGAGGGGATGGGGTCTAATGGCTCTTTTAGTATTTTAGTGAAAGTATTATAAATTGACTTCCAGAAGTGGTGTAGCCTTGGACATGTGCATCTTTGTCATATATGATTGTAAATGGAGTATCTTTGTTTTGGACTGTTGGTCACATAAAACAAAGCATTTGAATATATAGCCATACCAGAGGTTTAATATTTAAGGTAGAGCTGAAACGATAAGTCAATTAATTGATTCGCCATTCAAGGGATTCACTCATTAGAATCACAACATCTATCACTCCTTCTCTCTCCCTTTCTTTCTCTCTGACTCCGTTGGCTTCTTGTCAGGAAGTCTGATGTCATTCATGGTTTTTATTGTCTACTACTTCAACCTCATCTACTTCCTCTCTCTCACTGATTGGAAAAACCATAAAGCTACAATAAGCATAGCCTCTAGGAAAGCTCTCAGTGCCCCCTCTTCCTCTCCTTGCTCCTACTCATATGTTCACTGCGTTGTGTATTCCCACTTGCCGTCTCGTTCCATCATAAATGCTTTTTAAACCACTTGGCTGGAAAATTGACTTGGCATGTCAGTTCGGCTGAACAGCCCCAGTCAAGGCTCCTTGTTTGTTTGCGTCTGTAGATGCTTTTGTTGTTGATTTTGTTTCTGTCAAAAGATTCTCAAATGTGTGCCTCTTTTTCTAGTGAGAATGAACTTCTAAATGTATTTCACTGCTACTCAACCATGCATATCAAATGAGAACAAGGTCACTGGATACTCTAAAAATGCCAGAAGAAGATCGATGGTGTTTGGTTTGATTTTATACAGCAAATAATGCAACAAGTCAGTGGATGGAGTGAAAATACACTGTTATAATTAATAGCACTTCACCTGCGTTGCTTTAAGTAAGAAGTCAAAACATTAACACCAATAGACAGCAGCCATCCTTTCAGTTAAGTGTTTGATAAATTAGTGTAATTAAATTGCATTTAACATTGATTAGGATTCATTCTAATTAATTTTTTTTCCCTATCTGTGTCTTTTATTTTGCTTCAGGTGCCTGGGACTTTCCGGCTTTAAGACTACCAGCAAAGAGGCCAGCCAAACAAACTGCAGATCTGACTGATCTGATGCCATAAGAGGACTTCTAGTCTGAAATGTCAGCGGATCCTCTACTCGACAAATTGATGAATGTTCCTCAGTAGCAGCCGGTCGTGTGCCATCACTGGGATTTTTGAGTTTTGAGCTCTAGTTCTTGGACAGATCGGACTATCTTTTAACACAGGGATACCATATGGCAGTAGCAACATGGCACTGGGATAGTGTCTAAAATCAACATATGATCACGTCAATATCAGCTAAATCCTATCTGCCTCGCGGCCTTATGTCTTAGATTACGAACTTGTCATTAGAACACATTTGCCATATTTCTAATAAAGGATTAGTACTTGTGGAATGAAGGACCCCCTGGGATCAAGGCTGATGAAAATAGTTTAGTACTTGTCATGCAGGGAACCTGGCTACACACAAAACAAGCTGGAAACACAGACTTGAGGTGGAGCTGACGGTGAAGCCTCCCTTCCTTCATTTATGAGCCCATGACCCCTGCAGAAGTCAGATAGTCGGGAATCAGCCAACCACATATTCTTATCAAGAGATCCACCAGCAGCTGATATTGCATGCCTGTGAACGTGCCACGCCTGCATTGCCTTGGCTGGCCGTCGCAGGACGGTCACTTCACCCGGCCATGACCCGGCTGATGTTGGGCCGAACTCTGGAGCGCATCTGTAAAGGCGTCATGCTGCTCTGCCTGCTCCACTTTCTCATCATGATGATACTGTACTTCGACGTCTACTCGCAGCGCTTCGACCTCTTCAGCCGCTTCAACAACGGACGCAACGGATCCAGGAATAATGGCAGTGGAGCAGCAGGGAGCGGACATCATTTTTACTATTACAACCTCTCCAGGCCAAATGCGACGTTAGCCAGCTACCTGGCTACGGGCGAGCAACTGGTGCCGAGTGTGCAGCCAGAGACCAATCAGACGCCTTCTCCTAAGCCACTGCCGCCATGCCCTGAGAACCCGCCCAGCCTCGGTGAGTAATAATCTCATCTCCACTTCCTCTACCATTTACAAGAGCTATTAAGAATGAGTTGTGTATCGAATTAATTTGATTAATTAAATAAGCGATAAATAATTGATCGTTATTTGTCATTGAAAGAGTATTGTAGATGACAGCTGGCTTCATTAGCTGTCTTGAGTCACAACAGTCTCGTAAATTGTGAATTGAATAGTTGCGCCTGCTGCAGTTAACTGGGATGAGATGTCTCCCAGTTTCAGGCTACCTGGCTGTGGCTATCTCACAATGAATTTAACTGTCGTGTCCATGAGGGTGACGGGGGGGAAAAAAGCTCGATCTCTGCTTAAACTGATCATTAAACTGTGGACGTTTGTGCTCCACTTGAAGCATGTGGCACTGACCGTCCACAGCTCTATGGGATGACATTTTAATACTCATATGACAGGGCTGCATTTGGTTCAGGTGTTTTCTTATTCTTGCTCAACTGTCTTACACATAAAGTCTTAAAAAAATAAAATGTTTCAATCATGTTTTAGTTTTTTTTTTTAAATTGTGAATCAACTCAAACCTTGAAAAGCAAAATTATAACTATATTTCTATTGTTTTTAGCCGTATTGACAGGACCTACATCGGCCATAATGCATTTTCTGTTCAATGAAAATCCAAATGGAAACAGAGGATTTTCCCTTGTGTTTTGAGTACAATATTGTTGGGTGAGTGTGTCATGTTAAACAGTTACCCTGCTTCCGCTCTGTGCTGTAAATTCCCATTGTACTTCTTTACAGCCCATAAAGTCATATTTAAGTTTCTGATGTGCATGAATGAGCTTGGATGAGATTGTTCTATTTTAATCACTTTCTGTCTTGCTGAATCACCTTACTCAACGTCCTATTTGCTTTATTTGTTTATCCTGTCAGTTTGTTGTATTTGTCATTACGGCCAGTACATACTGTATGCCCGATAACGTAAACCAGGAGCATTTGCACACCATTGATTAGTGTAATGAATAGGGGGAGATGAGACCTTGATCGGAGCTCGATGCTAGAGGGTACTATTATATATTCAGTAAATAAATGCATCTCCAGTCTTTTTCCAATTAGTGGGAGAGCAAATGTGGCCATAATTTCGTTTTTCCGGACCAGTCCGCAACATAAAACGGATTTAATGTCAACGATTTACACGGTGATATTTCAACCTTATAGACCCACAGCGGAGCTATTAGCAAAGATTCATGCAGCCGGACGAGTAAACACACGTTTACAATAACACACACAGCAGCAGAGGTACACAACAAAGCTTCAGGGAGATTTCTTTTGTGTTCTCAGGCAGTTTTTCTTCCAAAGTTATGTATTCTCTGTTTTTACAATTTGTAACAATCTGCATTGCCTGCATGAGCTGTCACAGCGATTAAAAAAATACATTACACAAACTCATTAGGTAAGAAAGTAAGAATTTAAGTAAAGAAAGAAAAGGTAAAAAGGAAGCGTCAAAACTGATAGATGATTGTAGATACTTCCCACTTTTGCAGCAAGATTTCAAACAAATTCCATAATCCTCTTTGTATTCATAAAAACACACATTCGCTGGTCACTCACACGTCTTGGGGGGAAAAAGGTGTATCAATGGGGGGGTGGGGGGTGGGGGTGGTGGTGGTGCAGTGTTAGAGTGTGAACACTCATGAACGCACACACCTCATTAACATCAGTATCCATCCACCCAACAAATCAGAGGTTGATTGAGTCACACTAAGCCTCGGGTTTACTAAATCTATAATTACACAGTGGACACACACTCTCTCTCGCTCTCCTCTCTCTCAGGAATACTCGCTGATAATAGAGGAACTAGCTACTGTCATTATTTCACATTAGATAAAGTAGGCCTGACCTGCGTCCTGTCAGCTGATCCTGATACCAATGAGCCCTTAAAACCTCCAGTGCACATATGCGGAGAGTGGACTTTTCAGTGACGTAGGAGACGTTTTGTGTCTAGTAGTTAAATGTTTATGTTAAATGTTTGAAATGAAAATATGTGCACATTCATAGATTCATAGAGAGAGAAGGAGTAGCTGAACTTTTAGAAATATTGTAACTTGTCAATTGCATCTTTTTTACATGGGAAACCGGATCAGACTAAAATTATTACCCAAAGAAGAGTATTTTTTATTTCTTTTAAAACATGACTAGAGAGAAACACAGAAACAATAAAACTTTGCTGGATGCATAAGGTTAAGTTACTTTGCAATTATTTTATTTATTTTTTAGGCATGCAGCTGACCACCATTGTTGTTAGATGTTTGGTTGAATGTAGTTTGTGACACTGGGTGACCAAGATTCAGTGTCAGGACAGAGTCTAATGCCAATGTTAATTTGACAGAGAATACTGACGACCGCTGACGTTGATATTTTGTTGATTTAAAGTTGTGTTGTTTAGTTGCCAAAACCCAACGTCATTGAAACGTCTCATACCAACCTCACATTGACGTAGAATACCGGCTTTCTAGTTGTGAGGTATGGTGACCAAAACCCAGCTTCAGCTAAATTCAGAGCTCTACATACATTCATCTCTGTTGTTGCATTTAGTGACAGCATAAACCTTTAGCACAAACTGTCCCTTTAGAATAGATTGCTCCTCTGAACCATTGATTATTTGCACTTTGTCTGTCAATAATTGTTTGTGAAGGTAAAAGAAAAGCTTTTAAGTTTGGTCTGGCACATATGCAGTATAGGAGACATGGACAGTTTTTGTCTCAGATGCTTTGAGGCTTAATTAGTTAAAGCAAATAAATGTTCATCATGTTAAGTTTTTGTAATTGCTTTTTTTGTGATTATTAATTTCGGTAGCAGTTTATTTTCCAGGTCAATAAATAACCTCTTCTTAATTTTTCTCAATAATTTCTGAGACGTTTCCTGGAAAACAACTATGTAATTTGCTATTAATTATTGAGAAAAGTATTCACAGTATTCAATTGATACATTTCCGATGGCTTAATTCTACCTAATTGCTAGTGTGACATTTTAGTCTGTACACAACAGGCTTGCTAAAAGGCAAAAATGTGACGTGTGAATACAAATCAAATCAGATTAAGTCAAGTCATGCATCAAGTAAGATTGTTTAAAGTTTGTTCAAAGTTTTCATATGAGTTTGAAAATAATGTTTCCAAAAATAAATGAAGAACGTATGAACATTTATCAGGTAGTTATCCTTTCAAGGTGTTTCTCATGTAACTAGTACCATAGTGCACAGGAAACATTTTGGGAAATATTTAGGAAATCACGTTGCATTCCCACCATCGTGGAATCTCTTATTCTCCGTCATCCTCTTCATCTTTTTCCCCTTATTCAGGCTGAGTCTTTTCTATTCTTTTCAGGAAGCTCAGCCGAGGTCGGAAGCTGCTTATATTAAAATATGTTTGCTTTATTTGTTATTCTAATATATTCATGTTTATTAATACTGTGTGGTTGTTAATATAACAGATTTTATATTTCTTTTGTCAAATAGCACTCAGCAGCACTTTGCTGATGAAATGAAAACATGTTTCTTATTTTCTCCCACCTGCTCCATCTGTAAATGAGCTTTGTAAACTTAATCCCTCGCGAGCGGCACTGTGGCATTGTCAACATTTTTCTCTCTTCTTCTTCTTTTTTTTTTTTTTTTTTTTTTTTTTTTTTTTTTTTTTTTTTTTACTGATTGCTTTTCTCATTTGATAATGAGGTTTGTAATGTGCTTTGAAATTGGGAGTGGGAGATAAAGCTGTCAGGTTGATTTGTCTGAAGCTGAGGTTCGCTGATTCCATTATTTGGCCTGGAATTGGCTGTCACTGACTCTGGATTTGGCATTCATACCAGGCACAGGTGTACTCTTGTAGCTTATCTCTGCCTTTTCTCTGTGATGGAGTGGCTGCCTGGGGCCTGTAATGAGCAGGAAGACAGAGGAAGACTGAACGAGTCTGTTTTTCAGTCACAGGTGCAGAGAAGGAGAGAGAGAGAGAGCGAGAGAGAGAGAGAGAGAGAGAGAGAGAGAGAGCGAGATCTAATGGACGCTGGTATGATGGTTGGTATGAAGTGAGACAGACAGAGAGGCGGGATGGAGTGAAGGAAGTGAACAGCAGGTGGAGAGGTGAGGGGGTGTTGAGGGGGAAAAAAGAGAGAGACCTTGAACGGAGGTACACACACACACACACACACACATAGAGAGAGAGGGAGGGAGACACAAACAAACAAGCCTTTGGCTGTCCCAGAACACCAGCTGACAGGTGCTGCCTGTATGAGTGGCTAGCATCCACACTTTATATCCTGGCTGCATGTGTGTCTGTGTGTGTGTGTGTGTGTGTGTGTGTGTATGCATCTGTGTGAACTGTTAGTGGGATATGCAAATCAGGCGTTCATCAAAAAATGGATCCAAGGTATTGACAAATATTGCCAAAATAAATGATCTTCTTTGTCTTTTCTCAGTAAAACTGGAGAAATCAGGAGTGAAGAAAAAAACATATTCATTCTGTTTTCATTACTTCAACTGTGTCTCCTTCAAATTACCTCCTATGTGTAAAGCAGTAGCTACAGTATAAAGCAAAGCTCTCAATTAAGCGGTCAACCTCTGGTCCAACCCTCGTGAGATGTTGCGTTGTTTTGACAAATGATTGAATGAATGAGACTCGAGCAGCGAAGATGAGATCTCACTGTAGAGATCTCATCCGTGCTGAGTGGTCTCGTTACATGATAGATGCAGCAGCTATGTGATGCAGTAGGATTTCAGCATAGAGTCTCATCGCAGTATCTCTTACATATGGGAAAGGCAACTCACTGTGCACGTTACAGTTAAGGAATTATTGTATCCAGCTGGTTTACACAAGGAGGACGTTTGGGGGGGGGGGGCTGCTGTATTCGCTCTGTAGCCACCACGACGAGGACAAGCAACTCGGAAGCTGAACTGACTGATCAGTTATTTGCAAAGCGAACGGGTTGGGTCACGGCAGGCTATGAAATCGAATCCTGCAGGGACAGGGAGGCGGCAGAGGC